ACTAACGTAAAAGTTTTAAGTTAAATTGATTTGGTTAAAGGCCAACAGTGGTTCTAAGTTGTAGGTTTGACTTTGCTTTACTTTGGTTTGACTTTACTTTCGTGAGTTGACTTTTTATATGGAGTCGTTATAAAGTATTTTAAAGGAGAGTCTTCCGCTGTGTGTCTTTGATAGTTGCCATAGCCGTTTTCACGGTGGCGGTAATATCTTAGATGTTCCTATTTAAAGTTTTAAACAGGGCAAACACAGGTATTTTAAAAGAAAGGAATTTCTAGGGTACGGTGTTACAAGAGCCAATACAAACTAACCTAGTGTGTAGGGTGTGGAGGTGTCAAAACCGAACAAAACCTAGAAAATCATCTATTTCGAACTGTAACCAATCCGATTTGATTTAAGAGATTGAACGCCCAAACCCAATCTATAATCGAATCCACCCTAATTCGAATTTGACCCCATTTGAACTTAACCCGACACCGATTTGACCCAACTTGAACTCAAATCGAAACCGATTTGACCTAAATTGAACTCAAACCGAACCGATTTTGATCCGACCTGAACTCAATCCGAACCGAAATTGACCCGATAAACATTCGATTCAATCCGATCCGTTTTTTATCCAAACTAATATTAACCCGACCCAATTTAACCCGATTTGATTTTGACTAGCTTGATATGATTTCAAACTAACCATAATTTAAAACCTAACTTATCATTTACCTTATTTATTTACTTTAACATATATTAATTCCACAATATGGAAAAATTACACATGAATAACTTGATATCGACCCATTAACAAGACAGAAAAAAAAAACCCCTCAATAATTACTCTAATATTGAAAATGTACTTATTTGAATAATTACTCTAAACAGTTCGGTGCAAACGGGTTGCAGTTTGTTAACGGTTCGGTGTAAACGGTTTTTACCTCGGTTCAAACGGTTTCGGGTTGGAAACGGTTTCGGGTTACAAACGATTCGGTTCTTTTTCGGTTCGGTTTGGTTTCAATTCGGTTTAAAACTGGTTTGGTTTGTTAACGGGTTCGGTTCTTATACGGTTTGACATTATTCGAATCGGTTTGGTTTCGGATTTACTTAAATACAGTTCGGGTCGGTTTTTGGTTTTACAAAATCGGTTTTTAATAGGTTCGGTTCTCATTTGGGTCGGTTGGTTTCGGGTAGTTAAACGGTTTCGGTTTGAAATTTGACAGCACTACCCGTATCCAATGCCTAACTAACATGTGATAATCAGACTGAAAACAAGCTAAATCTAATATCGTGATTCGTGATACATAACCCCCCCCCCCCAATTCAATTTAGTTCAAACAATTTGATAGCATAGTTCAAATTTTAGACATATCAATTGATTTTAATGTCTAGCATAATATTAGGAAAAATTGTCCACAATAATCCGACCTTTGCTCAAAATAATCTCACATTTCGATTATTTTTTAATAATCCGACCTTTAATATTAATTTGCTTTAAATGGTCCCAACCAGTCAATTAACTTGTTATATCAAGTTACACGACACGTGTAAGCATCTGATTGGTTTGAAAAATAAAAATAAAGTAAAAAATGTTGATTTAAAAAGAAAAAATAAAATAAAAATTATACTAAATTAATTAAAAAAAAATAAAAAATACACCCACCAACCAAACCACCTTCCACGGCCGCCAAGTCGCCCACTACAACCACCGTCCACCAGATCGACCCCCTGCCTTCCCCCCCGGCGTCGGAGAGCCACGCCGACCACAATCCCCCCTTCCCCTTGAACCGCCGACCCCCCTCCACCTGAACCACCAACCAGCCTCGAAAATACCAACTCTTCCCCGTCACGATATTCTGGGCACAGCGAGGCTGTGGCTTGGGTGCGGCGGGGATTTGGTGGTAGCGGCGAGGACGTGATCAGGGACGGCCGGACGATGGTGGTGCGGGGAGGTGGTCGTGGCTGGTTGTGGTTTTAATTATTAATTATTGTTTTTAAAAAATAATTTGATTATTATATTGTTAATAAAGTTATTTTTTTTTTGTTTAAATATATATAATTAATGTTAATTAGTAATTATCATTTTTTTTAAAAAATTAAAAGTTATTTTTGACCAATCACATTGTGACACGTGTAAATTAAATTAATTTAAATTAATTTAAAAAAATTTACCTACTCAACCGGTTACATGTCACTTGAGACCATTTAAAGCGGATTAGTATTAAAGGTCGGATTATTAAAAATTAATCGAAAGGGGGGATTATTTTGGGCGGATGAGGCAAAGATCAGATTATTCCGTGCAATTTTTACATAATATTATGTGAAATTTGGTAATGGGGTAACATTTTTAACATATATTAGGTCTTGTTTACTTCACCTTAAAATATAATATTAAGTAAAGATTAGTTTCATCAATTAGTAAAAATAAGTTTAATTCAGTTAAAATAATTTTATATCAGTATAAATAAGTTAAGTTAAGTTAAGTTCAATGAAAATCAAAATTTCAAAAAAGAAAAATAATAGAGAACTAGCTAGTAAAAAGAATTTCAATTAAGCAAAACAATTGTAGTTCTTTAAACTTCAGTAAATATATTGAGTTCAGCAAAAATAACTTGAAGTGAACAACAGAATAAGGTCTTAGACCATATTCTTTTCACCTTTTTCAAATTACATTAAGTAAAAATACTTTTACATTCACTAAAAAATATTTCAACTAAGTAAAACTTTACTCTGCGATATTTACTTCACCTTATTCAATTAATAATATCTATCAATAAAAATAATTTAAATTCAATAAAAATAATTATATTTCAAGAAAAATAAGTTTTAATCAGTAAAAATTAGTAAGGCTTGTTCTATGTGTTCACCTTGCTTTTGTTGAACTGAAATAATTTTTATTAAAATAAATTATTTTTGATGAACTTATATTATTTATATTGAATTGAAATTCATTGATTGAACTGAAATTAATTTTCCTAAATTAAAATTACTATTTTAACATAAATGAAACTATTATTACTCATTCTATTTTACATTTATATTAATTAAATAGACTCATTATTATTGATAAATAATTATTTTTGTTGAACTGAATTATTTTTACTGAATTGAACTTATTTATACTGAATTAAGCTTATTTTAATAATTGAAGTTCAGCAAATAAAAATAATTTAATATGAGTAAAAAACAACTTAAATGCAGCAAAAGTAATATCAATTCAACAACCATTTCGGGTTAAAAATATGTGAAAGCTTGTTTCTCTCTATAAGAATAAGATCGGATAATAGAATAGAGCCTAAAAAATTTTACAAATATTAAATGGAGTCAATTAACCCTATTAACCAATGTTCATTTCACCTTAAAATATAATATTCAATAAAAGTAATTTCAAATCTTTAAAAATAAATTCAGATTAGTGAAAATCAGTTCAATTTCGTAAAAATCACTAACTTTAAAAAAGTAATACTCCATATAATGAGTATTAGTAAAAATAATTTTAGTTTATTAAAAATAGTTTCATTTCTGTAAAATTAATTTTAATTTAATTAAAATATTTTAATTTTATCAAATAAAATTTCAGTTCACTAAAAATAATTTCAGTTAAGCAAAAATAAGGTGAAGTGAACAAAGTCTTACTTTGAACATATTTACGCCAAGGATAAGTATCTTAATTATCTAATCAATATTATGCTACGTAATAAATAATAATTAATGTTGTAGCCCTCCAACTCTTCAATACTCAATTTTGTGTATTCTATTATTTTTTTTTCTCATAATTAAAATTATGATTTTTTCACCACATACCCCTGAGATTTTTGTTTATTCACCATATACCCATGAAAATTTTCAAATTCATCATAGACCCCTAAGTTATTACAAAATTCACAATATACCCTTAATGAAAATAAGGTGAATGGAATTTGGTTAATTATACCTCGAAATTACCTTAGATCTCTCCCCTCATCCCCAAAATCACTCCTCTTCTTCATTTAGCCCCTAAAACCACTCCAAATCACCATAACCATATTTATATGATTGATTTTGAGGATGAGAAAAGGAAATTTAGGTTGGTTTTGTGGGTGGGAAAAAAGAATGTGGGTAGTTTCGGAGGTAGGGGAATGTATTTAGGATGATTTCGGTTCATAATTAGCTCTAATGATTGACAAATTAAAAATCATTAATAATCAAGAGTATATGGTGTATTTTTATAAAAATTCGGGGGCATATGGTGAAAAACCCGTTAAAACTATAATTACGCAAACTACTTTACTTTTTATTTTTTTGAAGCAGACCATATCCTAGTATATAAGGTTATTTAAATTATAATTTTTTTTTTACACAAATATTATATTACATATAGTGATTACTTTATAAAAAAGTTAGATTTTTTTTAAATTAAAAAAATATACATTTGCATGAATAACCAACAAGATCTTGTAATAATTATTATAGAACTTATACTCCTATCAATCTTGAATACTTGCAATAGTTTGACTAAAGGCCTGTTCACATTTGCTGAACAGAGCTGAACTGAATTGATTGGAGCTGAACTGAACTGAACTGAACTGAACTGAACTGAACTGAGCTGAAATGAATATTTTATGAGAGAGGGAAATTAGGAGCTGAACTGAACTGATTGGAGCTGAAATGAACTGAACTGAAATTAAGTAAATAAATACAGGCCCTAACACACGTGCCAATGTAAAAAATTATATAATATGTTATTAAAAATTTTGAAAATATAATGAAAATGAACCTCGAGATTAATCCGAAAACATATTACACAATTACATTGGTGGGAGTAAATCACGCAAGATAGTTAAATTAGAGCTTCTGAAAAGTTTCAAACTCAAAACTTGTCAACTAAAATGAAAAACAAAAAATAGAAAAACGATGATACATCATACCCAATCGGTTATCAAGTAGGGTTAGATAACCAATAGTTATTATCTTAAAAATTGCCAAATGTTTTCTAGTTATCCAATTTATTAGTGGTTTGCTAAATCATGACTTATTTATTCTGTTTCTTCAACAGTCTGAATACTTCCTTGTCCTTCCAGCTGATTTTCCATCTCAACTGATACAATTGTATCAGATCTTTCAGGACTGCTGCCTTCTGTAACACGGTTGCTAGACTCAATGCTAAGCCTTTTCATTGCCTCTTTATTGTAAGAATTTCTCATCTTCAATAGAACAATACAACATACACATTATGACATTTCTTTCGTATAACACTAGGTTAGATCCCGTGCCATGCACGGTGATCTATAGTTATAAACCAAATTAGCCCCGTGCGATTGACGATATATAAAAAATTTCAAACCATTAATTGCAATGGTATTTAGATCTAAATAATTTTGAAGATGGTAAAATTTAACCAAATTATACAGTACAGACTACTCTTAAATCGGGAGTAAATATATTTGGAAGCCAGATAGTTTTTTTTTTTTAATTTTTTTTTATAAATCCATAATAATGTAAAAAAAAAATAAAAAATAACATACTTCGTAATATAATAATTATCTTAAAAAAAAAATGTACTCAGTAGATATTTTAATAATTTAAGGTAAAAAATAAGAAGGTTTAAAAAAAAGTAAAAATAAAAATAGAATATGATGTCAGCAATTGATTTAAGCGGGAAATTATTTACCACAACTTGACATCTGTACAATTTAAATAGGAGATGATGTCAACGGTTGTTACGTTAGTTATTTTTATCGATAGTTATAATGCATCATTCCTTGTTCTGTTGTTAAAAAATGAGTAGGGTCATGAAATAATTACCTGTGTCACAATTGCATAAAGTGGTAGAGTGCTATAACTGCATATGGTTTGTATAACCACCCTTCAACAAATGAGAAACAAGATTCATAAGATCAATTAAATATGTTACACCTAAATCCTAATAAAATTTAATGTAATCAACGAATAAGAAAGTTTAAGTAATTTACATTATAACAATTCTTGCATACACAAATTTAGTTTCACCCATGACACAGGAGTGGAAACCGAACTTTAGCTGTAACATAAATATCAACAATGAACCAAGATCGATGTCAGTCTATATGAGTTATAAAATTAGTAATATGAAACTTAGAACTACAGGTAAAGGGTAGGAGATCTAACCCATGTCCAGAAGAAAATTGCAATCCCAAAAGAGTTAAAAAAAAGGATGATATGGATCAATAAGAGGACATATTTAGGTTGGCTGAACCAAAAGAATGAATCTGAAGTTTGAATTTGTACTCCTCCAACAATCACGGTATGTCTTTGAGCAACATAGATTGCTAACTCTGTGATCACTTGTTCTAGTTTGGTCTCAACAATAAGTAAGACCTATAAACAAACAAGAATTTCGATATCTCAAATCTGTATAAATCCATCTGATAATGTTACTTGTTATGTACTGCTAGTAAGCTAGTTCGCAATGTAAAAATGACTATGTTTTGAGGTACTTACAACCAAGGGAACGAATGATATCCAAAAATATATGTTCCAACCTGCAATGAATCTTAACATGTTATGTGTGTATAAGTAATAAATTAGTTGCCACAATTTTTAAGTTAAGTAATACAATGTAAATTACAGAGTTTTTTGTGTTATTTCGGACAAAGTTTACCTGCCACATTGAGTGTAAAGGAAATAACGACGAATATCCAAAGGAACCAACTGCAATGATTTTTTTTTTTTTTTTTTTTTAAATGTTAGGGACAGTAAAGATTGAGGTCAATATTAATAAGATGTTACAGAAGTCCGTGTGAAATGAGATTTTACTTAATTGAGACAACTTTCTGAAAATCATGTTCATATGCATACACCAAGTATTTTTGAAAGTTAAATCTTTGATCCGTGTTACAATGTGTCTGCAGAAGGCAAAATAAATCTTGTTGTTAAGATTAATTCATTAGAATATGATAAAATCGCACAAAGACATAATTTACCAATGTGAAGCCCAATCTCATTGCTGCGTAATCTGCTTTTGTTAATATCCCAGCTAGATGCTTGAAGAATGAAATCTGAAAGAAAAATATGAAATCCTGAAAAGTATACTAAATCTTTCTTAACAGGTTATACTTAATTTTAACAAAGGATTGGTTTCAAGAAATGACTAATGTATATATGTTTCGAGTACTTGATGAAGATTTAGCTGAGCCAAAGTCGTGACATTAGTGTTATCTCAGTCTGCAATGTACTAAATCGAATAATAGAATCTACAGAGTTCAGAGCTTTAATGTATGTGGTTAAGCCTATGTTTATTGTGGTTAAACATATGCATATGGTGTGTAATAATGTTCATAGATCATAGATACCACGGCTGGTCTGAATGTTTGGCAGATCGATTGTCTAGTCTGTTTAATGATTTTTACAAAGGCCAAGTCTCTTTTGTTAAGCTTTGAGTACCATAGTTAAGCTGCTAGGAAACTTGCTTTGAAGTAACATGCAAAGAGATTGTTTCATAATTTGGTCGTACAAATTACTAAAAACATATTTTCTATTGTTTTGCACCATTTTTAAGTGTAGGATGGTTTAACGAGACCTGTAAATCTTCAACAACAATTTCATGAAATTACAACTGTAATAATATCAGTCCATCCTGTTAGTACTTACCACATAATGTCGTTTGTTAGCATCATCACCTTTGCACCTCTCCTTAATAAATGTAAGGCTTCGGACATGTATTACTCTGTTATCTAAAAGAATATAAGATCATAGACTGTTAGCAGTTAAAAAAAAAAAATTGTGTAAAACCTCAAATGTATCCTTAATGGTTGATTTTCAAAAAATGGAAGGAGATACTAAAGGTTTTTTCGGGATACCATTATTGATATCATTCTTATTCTGCTTCCTTATAGATCTCTCCCACTTCTTCCTGTTAGGATTAGTGTGGAGATAGATAAATACATGGAGACATAAGGAGATTGCATAGAAGCTGCCTTATTGTTAAGGTTCGACCAAACTTGTGAAAAGTTCGGTCGAACCCGGTTTTAAGTCAGTAGGTGCACCAGTTTTCATTTCTAGAGGAGGAGTGACCAAACCCAAGGAGGTTCGACCGAACCACCCCAGGTTCGACCGAACTCTGGGTAGGTTCGGCCGAACCTCCCTGCTCCCTATTTCGTCGCTTCGTTTTCGGCTTGTGCGATTTGCTTTAATCTTAGCCGTTGGATTGTATTTTCTACCTAGACTATATATACCTTTTCTAAGCCTCTTTGTTGATGATTCACAAACATTTAAACACATAGAGAGGTTTTGAGAGAGTTTGTGAGGAGCATTTGAATTCTATACAATTCATGCTTGTAATTCTTGAGTTCATTCATCATCAATATTACTCCATAGTGCAAGGGTGGGTTTTTTCTCCCGGTTCTCGGGTTTTCCCACGGTAACATTGTCTTCCTTTTACTTGCTTTAATTCCTTCAAAGTTGTTCTTGATTGTTATGCTTGTTTGTTCATTGCTATTGTGGGTTGATTGCAAGTTAGTTGAACACTTTAATCCTTACACTTCCAATGACTTATCTGTAGCGTGTGAGGAGCATTTAGCACACATAGTGATCTATCAGTTCGCCGGAGTTGTTAGAGCTCTCAAAGGTGTCTAAAGTATAGAAATTACCTTCACTTCTCCTAGAAGAACCGTCAATGTACAACACGCCACATGAACAATTGCTAATATAAAGATAAGGATATGGAGTTCATGAAGTACACCAATAGATACAAAAGAAACCTTGCCCTACACAATTACAAAATGTTGATGATTAGATTGCAGAGGATCCAACCACTTCTACTAAATTTTGTTTATTGAGTTTTGATTTTTGATGTTAATATATTTTTTTTTTTTTGTTGCATTCATTAGTTTGTTAAAATCATTAAGATTTTAAGACAACTAATCAATTTATAATGTTTCATGCTTAACATTCCAGGTTTACATGAGTGCTATGACGATTACTTGAGTAGAGAATTAAATAAGAAATTCCTTATGTTCATGCTAAAGACACTAATAGAATAAATGTTGAATCAAAATGAAAATACACAATTAATTTTGCAGATAAAATGTTGAAATTGATCATCAAAAGCCTGGTTTCTACATTTTTTTTTTTAGTTTGATTATGTTTCATGCATTTATTTTTAGCTAGACAAATTTAAGACATGAAAGAGTACCGATGGGCAGGAAGAGATATCCTCAGCAGCTAGGAGGTGACGTCCTCCATTGGAAATCTGAAGATGAGAGGTAGCTTTACTGGTTGACTTGTCATCGCGACAAGGGATCCACTTCTCAGTCAAATGATCTGATATGCACTTATTTGCAATGTCATCTTGGAAAACAGCAAGCAGCAGAGATACGAAGCCCAACAATATCAATTCTGCAAGAGAAGTTTCGTTATGACACAACACACCAGCCGAAAAAAGGTATGACTGGTACAGGTTTTATTATCTGATCACCTTCTTTGATCTTTTGCAAGGCCTTATAGAGAGATTTTCGTTTCTTGCTTTTTAGCATCTGCAACATACATACTGTTTTTAGTTTCGAGAGACAAAATTCTTGGGACTAATTACAGTTTTGGAACAAGAATGGATGTCAACTAGCTTAGTTGGTTAAAATCTTAGGGGTGGTATTCAAGACCTGAGATCGAATTTCTTCTACATCACTGCCCTTCCGGCTCTCTTTACAGCAAAAATAAAAAAATAAAAAAAAAAGCAAAAAAACAGTTTAGGGTTAGGAGGGAAAAGACTTGCCTTTCCAAGGTAACAAAGAATATTATCAATGACCCAAGAAATGCCAACAATAACTAACACCACTATGCCAATCACCCACGACGGCGTAGACTCGTAGGGTAGTCCTCCTCCTCCTCCGGCCATCCTTTCCTACCTAGCTATTGTGCAGTCACTCTTCCCAACTATCTCGGTAATGTATCCTAAGATAACCTTAATGGTTTTATACTCTATATTTGTCACAAGTAATGTGCTTGCACATCTGTATTCATAATTTATTAATAATGGTATTAGCTAGCCTAAGAATTGTCAAACGTTTTTTAGCAATATTGAAAAGGCAACCACCATTCCTAGTATATTTTCTATGTAAGATGGTATCGAAAATCATTGGAAGGTTAGTCAATCTATTTCAATGGCTTTGCATGGCTATTTTTCGCAATTGATGTTTGCACTCTGCAGTACAGTACAGGTACTATTGTTTTTACATCCAAGTTTAACACTAAGGTAATATATATTGTACTATATGCTATACATGTTGGAATAAATAAGAATTGTTCAATCATGCATAGAAATTATTTACGCGATTGAAAGCCTGTAATGAATGCTATGTGTAATACTCTATTCCTATAGTTTCGGAAAGTGTTGACATAGATATGATTTTAAAATAACTTGTGATTACCTTACCTTGCCATGTCCTTGACTTAGTTCATGAGTTTCTCTTAAAGATTACCAAATGTAAATTAGAATATTATTGAAATAATTAAGGCCAACTAACTAAGGATATATACCATCAGATTATCTGGCTGCTTAGTACAGTCAAATTTGTCTGCAATATACAAGTATATTGACAGCCCTTTATAGCAATTCATCATTCATTATTCTATACCGAAAGTTTATCATAATAGGTACGTGCCTCATAATCGTGGTTTAAATTATAGGTTGAAACCTGAAGAATAATGAAGACCCTTCTTTGTAATTGTTTTTTCTCCAGGTGTGATTAACCAAAATTAGATTTTTTTTAATAAATTCCTAAATTCTACCTGGGTTACTTCAGCTAGCACAGTTCATAAACTTCTTTGAAGTGACAGAGCAAGCATTAATTACCGTCGTAGATAGAATGATAGGTGTTTCAAACACCAATCCTCGTTGAATGAAAATCACATAAATACACATATACATGTTTGAATGGAGAATAAAAAATTCCAAACTAAGAACAAAAGAGATTCATCAGACTCTTTAAATTCTCTTTTCGATATATATTAAACATTTTGTTCCAAATATACAATGTACATGCTGTCAACTATATAATCCTCAATTAATTTATTGCTAGCATCACTACTTGTATTGTAATTTGTAAAAACGTGAGGCAGTGCCTAGGTCACATACTAGTTTATACTGAAAAAGTGTCTACTTGTTCTTACATTGTATGATAAGATGAGTGATGACACTGATAAGGAAAAAGGCAGAGTAAGTCCAGTTGGTGTTTCTCTCATTCCTACACATTGTTTAGTTCTTTTATTTTCCTTTCAGAAATGTTATCGTTCATTCGTTCCCCCTGCTGATTGTCATCTTAGTTCAAGTTGTTGCGTTTCATTCCTCAGAAATCCATGCCTTTTCATTGCTGCCTCATTGTAAGAACTTCCCATCTTCAACAGAAAAAACGTTACAAGTAACAGTAACACATTAGAAATTAAAACATTTTGATATCGAGTATTCCGTAATATGGAGTAACTGATTTGTTCTTTTTTTACCTGTGTCACTATTGCATAAAGTGGTAGAGTGCTATAACTGCATATAGTTTGAACTGCCACCCTTTAACACAAGAAAATGAAAATTCAGATTAGTATATTTATATTTCATATGATACATTAATAATAAGGTAAACAAGCAAAATGATTTGTATTACATTATACTTATTCTACCATATACATATTTTGCTTCACCCATGACACACGAGTGGAAGCCGAATTTAAGCTGTCACATACAGATCAAACACCAAGATGTTGTCAATTTTAAGAAATTTTTATATTCTGGATTGACTTGTAGTTAACATTTAACAAGGGATTGAGGGTCTAACCAGTGTCCAGAAAAAAATTGCAAACCCGAATGAATTCAGGAATAGGATGACATGTATCAAGCAAAGGACAAATTTAGGTCTGCTGAACCAAAAGTATTCATCTGATGGTTGAAATCTGACTTCTCCGACAAGCACGGAATGTCTTTGAGCAACATAGATAGCCAACTCTGTGATCACTTGTTCCAGTTTGGTGCCAACGAGTAGTAGGAGCTGTAGATACAAATCAGGTAAGTGTTAGAGCTATGTACTCGGTATTTCTAGTATCTAATGAAGATATTCTATGATCTGCAATGCATTTATAAACAGTGTATACTTTGTATTGTCTACTTACAATCAGGGGGATGAATGATATCCAAAAATATATGTTCCAACCTGCAATTAGTGTTAACCAATCAAAAATACATACAGCCATATACGTGTGTGCATGTGTAAATATGTATACTCCCTCCTTACTTGCCACATTGAGTGTCAGGGAAGTAAAAACCATAATCCAAAGAAACCAACTGCAGCCAAAAAATAAAAGTAAACATTAGAGAAAGAAGAATGAGATATATTATAGAATACTAATCTAGTATGAAGTGTAATTACCTGATTGAGACAACTTTCTGAAAATCAGCTTCATAGGCATACCACCATGTACTTGTGAAAGTTAAACGTCTGATTCGCGTTGCAGTGAGTCTGCAGAAGAGAAAAGGATCTCGATGTTACAAAACATCAAACAGAGAATGCTGTGAAATAAACTCTATTCAAGCCTTGATGTCATTTTACATGGCACTATTACCAAAATGAAGCCCAATCTCATTGCTGTGTAATCTGCTTTTGTCACTATCCCGGCTAGGTGCTTGAAGAATGACATCTGAAAGAAAATTGTGAAAGTTATACTGAGACTTCCTCTATGGTTTATAATATATATATGTGAGAAATTAATAAGGATAGTTTCAAGAAATAGTAATTCCTCAGTTCCTCCATTTCTCTTATGCTAAAGATTATTTACTTCTTTTCTATTCAGTTTCATGATTCTTTTTCTCTGGAATTGTCTAAGTTGCTTCAGAGTTTCACTTCTGGAATTTGTGCTGCAAGAAATTAAGTGCATTGTGTTTTTTTAAGCTATAATGAGTGAAATGGTCTTCAGGGTTAAGTTTCTCATAAAGCCATACAGGTTTGAACTTAAAACTATGCTTAGTTATGGTATGTGCAAGTTTATAAATTTTGCTACTGCTTTGAAGGACTGATATGATATCTTGTCTTTGTAAAATCCTAACTTTGGCCATCTCTCTTTCATTAGGTTTCCAGTGAAAGAAATGTCTCTAAGTAGCATTGCAATACTGTAATCTATATAACGTTGTAACTCTAAGCATGATTTCATATAGAACATCAAATAGTGAACTGAAAATTGCAATTGATGATAAGATTAGTTTTGGATCAACTTCGAGTGATTTAAATTTACTCACCGCATAATTTCGTTTCTTAGCATCAACACCTTCAAACCGCTCCTTAATAAATGTAAGGCTTCTGATATCGATGACTCTTTCTGTATCTGTATGAACATGATCATCATAGTCTTAAAATTAAAATGGTTGGAACTTATTGGAATCAACTCTTAGCGTACAGTTACCAATACAACAGAAAGAGATTACCGTTGTTAACATCAATCTGCCTTCTTATAGATTCCTCCCACTTCCGCCACTGACTTATCTACAGCTTGCAATGTATACAACAAGAGAATCATTAGATTGGAAGCTTTTCTTACTGTACGATGTCTTGAAACCACTCAGATTTGCATTGCAGAAAAATTCACCTTCACTTCTCCCAGAAGAACTGTGACTGTACAGCTCACCAGATGGACAATTGCTAATATAAATATAAGGTAATGTAGCTGATGAAGTACACCAACAGATACAAAAGGGGCCTTTCCCTGCACAGCAACAGGTGGGAGTGAGCGAGCTTGTAATGGGGTCAATGGCATGTGGAAGTTTTGCTTTAATATGCTTTGTTGTTCATCCATTTATTTTGTAAGATATAATAGAATAGTTTACTGCTAGTTTCGTATGGAATCATAGAATGCTCGTCGTGCATTAAGCATTTTCATCTGTTTTTACGCAATGTATTCCTACTGTTTTACTGAGCAAGATTACACAGTAGAATAATTGACATTTAAATATCTAAATGTGGCAAACTGATGACTAAAAAAAAGGCAAAGAATTCCTTCAGATATTAAAAGGGTAAAAAATGAAGGATTCCACTTGTGTTTCAGGCAAACAATGTTAGCAAGACAGATTTAAGACCCAAAAGAATACCGTTGGGCAAGAAAAGGTGGTCTCCTCAGCTAGAAGGCGGCGTCCTCCACTAGGAAGATGAGAGATCTGAAAATGGGACATATCATTACTGGTTGACTTTTCAACATGACAAGGGATCCACTTCTTGGCTAATTTTTCTGATATGCACGTACTTGCAATATCATCTTGGAAAACAGCCAGAAGCAGCGATACAAACCCCAACAGCATCAACTCTGCAAGTGAATTTTTAGAACTCAGTTGCGAGAAAAAAGAAGCAAAAGAAGACATGGAACTAGAAGTTGGTAAATAACCTTCTTTGATCTTCTGTAAGGCATCATAAAGGGGCTTCTTTTCCTTTCTTTTCAACATCTGCAAGCGTTTTTATGGTTTTAGCTTTGAAAAGAGAGAAATGTATAGAGAATAAGGTCTGATGCCTATGGGAGGGGTAGGATGAGACTTGCCTGACCGAGGAAACTAAGAAGTTTTTCGATGAACCAAGAAACAGAAACCATCAGAAACACCACTGCTCCAATGATCCATGATGGTGTAGACTCAAACGATGGCCCTCCTTCTCCTCCTGCCATCTATCTGATTTCCGGTGTCACCCTTTTCTAATTGGCTCTGTGAATAGTATCCTAACATAATGATACATTTATCGTGATGAATGTGCTTGCACATCTTTGTTCAGGAGAAATGGTAATGCCTTGACTTACCAATAATGCATTAATTCATTAGTTTATATTAGGAAGATTTAAAAGTTGTCTTCCAAGTTTCAAAGTCAATCCCAGTTTCTTTCTCAATTCTCTGACTCATGGCTACTTGCTTTTAATTGCTAAGATAGTGCTGTTTAAGTTGCAGTTGAAAATCATTTGAAGATTATTCATTTGATCTCAGCATAGATATTTTTTTGTTTAATATAACTTGTTAGTTTAATACTATATCCCATGATGATTTTTGTGTCTGCACTGCAGATATTAACATTTAAGATATATTGAAGTTTTATGGAATATAAACTTCAATATATATTGTGTGCGGAATCCATATCCGAGTAGTTCAGAATTACCCAATCATACACTGAGATTTCTTTTTGTGATTGGAAGTCTGGTTCAAAAGCTCTGTATCTATGTTAGCTTGTGTGGACATAGATATGGTCTAAAATGAGCATAATCATGCTGTCTAACCCTTGGCTCGTTAATTATAAAAGTCAAAACAGAAGACAATTAGCTACATTGTCTGCCTGCTTGGTGCATCTTGATCTATTGCTATCAATATCCCTACATTGCAATTTTATAGCTTACACTCATGCATAACCGTTGTACATTATTCATTTCTGTACCTTGGGTCTCTGGTTTCAAATTGTATTTTCTCCTTGTATGATTGACCATATGCTGCTCTATCATGTCTGCAACTAAAAAAGTACAGAAAAGTGCCAGCTTGCTTAAGTGTTTATGCGTTATGATGTTTACTTTGTCATGTGTCATAATACACTTTCCTTCTGCATTTGTCAATCAAGTTATTAGATGCGAGATACAAATTGTGATGATCTATTTGGAATGCAAAGTAAATTGCAGTTCAGGATGATCTATTTGAATGCAAAGTAAATTGCAGTTCAGTAATTCCATCTTAAAGTACAATTTCTTTTTTTTTTTTTTTGTTTTTTGTTTTTTTTGTTTTTTTTTTTCTGTTCCCATTGTGTTGCACAGAATGTTATTCTAGAGTAAATTCATAGAACAAGAAATAAGGGGTTGATTGTTTGCTCTAGGAAAAAATAAAACTCTTATATAAACATGTACTATGTAGTATATATCCAATCTGCAAGACCTTGTAACACTGCAATGGTGCTAATTTATACATTTTCACGCATGACATTCTTAAGTCTTATTTATAAGCGGCTTACAACTAGTCTCGCATAACATCGATTGCAGTTTGAAATAATTCAATGTTGTTCCTGGTGATTGGCCATCTCAATTGATGCTGCTGCATTGGCTCCTTCTGCAGTCCGGTCTGCAATGGCATTAGGTCTGTTAAACCCACTGCCATATCTTTCCATAGCCTCCTTATTGTATGAACTTCCCATCTTTAATAACAAAACAACAGAGTTAATACATGTTGGGATGATCCCCCCCAAATCCAAAATTAATAAAAGAAAGAACTATGCAGTAGATTTTAGAAGCTAGAAAGTTGCATTTTCAACTTTTTTTTTTTTTTTTTTTTTTTGAAGCAGCTTTAAATGCGGAACACCTTAAGTTGTAAGATGAACACAATTAAAGTGATTGTCATTTATCTCTTAAAAATTCTGATCTGGGCATCAAGAGTGGATTTTCTCCTTACTCAGGAGGGGTTCTCCACGTAAGAATCTTGTGCGTTATTTTTTTTTATCACTTCGTACTTTATTTACTCTCGATAATGATCACTAGCTGGAAGGATGATATACCTGTGTGACAATAGCAAAGAGCGGTAAAGTACTGTAACTGCAAATGGTTTGAACCAACAACCTAAAGCAAGGAAGTATGAAACGAGGTTAATTAGTTTATAGAAGTGCGAAGACTGATAAATTGAGAAAAAAAAAAAAAAAAAAAGGTATTAAAGTAATGTTACATTAAAATGATTCTTGAGAGCGCGAATATTGGTGTGCCCATTTCGCAAGAGTGTAAACCAAATTTAAACTGTTGCAGATCATGTGTCAAGTTGAAGTTAAGAGCTTGCAATAATATAATTAATTTCGAATTAGTATTTTAGTTTCAAGGTGGTAAGATCTAACCCATGTCCAGAAGTAGATTGCAGACCCAAATGAATTAATGAAAAGTATGGTGTGGATCAACAACAGGACAATCTTGGGTTTGTTGAACCAAAAGTAGTCATCTGATGGTTGAACTCTTAGTTCTCCGAAAACGACAGTATTCCTCTGAGCTATATAGATAGCTAGCTCTGTGATCACTTGTTCCAGTTTGGTGCCAACTACTAGTAAGAGCTGAAGATAAAAACTCTTTTCGTTAATGAAGTAATGAAGACATCAAGAGATTCTACTTCATTACAGAGAACAAACAAAGAGGAATATGGAGCAAACAAAAAAGAACAGTGGAAGTATATGTAAACTTCGGGATCAAAGCTTACAAAACATAATGAATGATTTGAGTAATACGGAGTACTGATTGCTTTATCTATTAATACTTACAATAAAGGGGATAAACGCAATCGCAAAATATATATTCCAACCTGCACATGGAAAAAATGAAGTTAAGACAATCCACTGCACCATTCATTTATATAAACCATACATTTGAGGAAGATAGGGAGGCTATTATGTTAGATAAAATACCAGAAACATTCAGTGTCAATGAGATAACCACAAACAGCCACATGAACCAACTGCAACCAGAAATGATGCAGATATTCATAAGAATGAATGATTGAGGACCTCACGAATTACTTAAAAAGTGATTTACCTGATAGACACAATTTTATTAAAGTCTGCTTCATATGCATATACGATGTATTTGTGAAAGTTGAACCTTAGATTTCCATCACAATGGGTCTGCAAAAGAAATAAAGATGAGCTCATGAAGCAGGAATTTTATTATGTTTACTGTGTAATGATCAAAAAAATAGGAAAACAAGGGGGAAAATTACAGAATAGTGAAAGGAAACTATATATCCCTACTTAATACAGAGTATATGTGATAAAGAATATTTTGTGTACATTCTCTATCGATATGAAGTGTAGTTAAACCAATTATTCGCTCTATTTGTAAAGACTTGATAACAAATAACAATTACCAAAATGAAGCCTGTTCTCATAGCTGTGTAGTCGGCTTTTGTTACAATCCCAGCAAGGTGCTTGAAGAATGAAATCTGAAAGCAGAATGTAAATGTAAATAAAGCTGTAGATGATCTGCCTTCGTCTACTTAAGTTATACTAATTCCATTTTAGGGGGAACAGATACTTATTATATCCACACTGGATTGTTGAGAAAAAGTGATTTTAACAAACTCTACATACCACATAATTACAGTACTTGGCATCATTACCATCAAACCGGTCCTTGACAAATGAGAGGTTTCTAACATCTAGTACTCTCTGATTGTTACCTGTATCAACAACAATGACAATAAAAAATTGAGATCCACAATACAACGCTGGAATTTTCATAGTTCTGATCAGAATCCTAATAAAAAAAATGATTTTAATTCATTACCATAATCTGCATCAATCTGCGTTCTAATAGCATCTTCCCACTTCCGCCACTGAAATATCTGCAGCTTGTGAATTGTTATGACATAGTAGAATATCATTAGTATTAAATTGGGAACATGGTTTATTGGCATAAGTTCATACATCTAAGCTATGGATGGCTCTCGTGCACCTAGAGATGATATGCATAAGAAATTACCTTCATCTCTCCAAGAAGAACTATCAGGATACAGCTCAGTACGTGGACAACTGCTAATATAAAGATGAGGTAATGAACGTCATGAAGGACACCACTCGATATGAAAGGTACCTTTCCCTGCAAATGTAAAGACAACGAATAGGCTTTGTAATGTTTTTCTGTAAAAGTCATGAATCTTGAAAGCTGTCAATTGCAGTATCTGAGAGCATATATACTTGGCAGTAGTCAGTAGAAATTCATGTCAATTCACTAATTAGCCGCTTGCCTTCTCATTAAATGTAACATATTTTCAGACAGTACTTGCTGGATATGAGAGTGTCATACCTGGTCGCAGTTAGACTCACTACTGCCAGCTAAAAGGCCGCGTTTTCCTCCTGTGATAAGACCGGCAGGAACCGAATCATCATTACAAGGGAGCCATTTTTTAGCAAGTTTTTCTGGTATACACACCGTATGAACCTTATCTCCAAAAACAGTAAGCAGCAAAGATATAAACCCCAATAGCATCAACTCTACAAGATCAAAAAGTTGTACAGGACAGCAGTCAGCTATCAACATGCTACAACAATCAAACAAAGGCGAAAATTTTAATAAGAAACTCACCTTCCTTGATCTTCTTCAAGGCCAGATTAAGAGGTTTCTTCTCCTTTCTCTTCAATAACTACAAACATGAAACATAGCACGTTATTTTAGTAATCTGTCAGCTCTGAAACGTCTATTAGTCGAAGAGAGTAAAGAACACTTGCCTTGCCAAGGTAACTCAGAAATTTTTCGATGACCAAAGAAATAACAACAATCACAAAAACTACTGATCCTATCACCCATGATGGTGTAGCCTTAAAGTCCAGCCCTCCTCCTCCTCCTCCAGCCATCTTTATCTTCCTTAAACGAGATAAGACGACTAATACCTGACTTCTTTAAATAGTACTCGCATATATATTTAGTAAGCATGATGTCGTCAATTCAATGACATAACACCATTAACGTGTACTATATGGCAATACACAATTGACCCTTTGAAATTTCTACAATATTTTTTTTTTGAAAGAAAAATTTCTACAATATTAGTAAACGCTACTTTCTGTTTTATACTTCTTTGTGATTATATTTATTGTCTGATGTCGACTTATCTTAGGGATAGTTTGTAGTTTTGTACTAATGTTCTATTTCTTAGACAGTTGAATTGTTAAAAATCACTAAACAACAAAGAGTGGATATAATATGCAAGGACTGAAGTAGCATGTCGAAATTGAAACTTTCTAAGCCACACCTTCCTAATAACGGTTGTTGATCAATCCAAAACTCAACAAGTCAAATACTAATACTTAGGGGTGTCAATTCGGTTAAACGGTTAGGGTTTGGGTTGGGTTATCAGTTTCGGGTTATAACGGGTCGGTTTATAACGGATTGAAATAATAAGCGGGTCGGTTTGGGTCGGTTTTGAAAATTATCGGGTCAGTTCGGTTTGGTTTTTTTAATTGCATTTTCTATTCGGATCGGGCCCTTATCGGGTCGGGTTCTAGATGGTTCGGGTCATAATCAATTTGGGTTGAACTGGGTCGGTTTGAAAATGGGTTTAGCCCATTTAATGTGGGTTTCGGTTAAAAACAGTTCGGGTCTTAATCAGGACGGGTCGTAATTGGTTTGGGTCATAATCAGTTTGGGTTTAACTGGGTCGATTCGAAAATGGGTTTCGGTTCAAAATAGATCGGGTGAAATCGGGTCCAACCATTATTGTTTCGGTTATAATCGGTTTAGATTGAACTTGGTTGGTTTGAAAACGAGTTTACCCAATTCGAAACGGGTTTCTAATCAAAATCATATCGGGTTAAAATTGAGTCGGATGATTATCGAGTCGAATTAGTCAGATAATGTGTAGGAACGAGTCATGTTATAATCAAGTCAAGTCATAAATAAGTTGGGTTTATCGAGTAGTGGGTTGAAACAGATTAGATCATAAACATATTGGGTAACAGGTTGTAAATGATTCATTCATAACGGGTTACGGGTTTTAAACGGTTTGGTCATAACGGGCTACGGGTCGTAAACGGTTCGGTCACAACGGGTTACGGATTATAACCGGTTCGGTCACAACGGGTTACGGGTTGGAACGATTTAGGTTTATCGGATTTTTATCGGGTTTTAACGATTTTCAGTTTAAAACGGGTCGGGTTACTATCGGGTTTAAACGTAATCGGTTTGGGTTGCTTTCAGTTTCGGGTTGTAACGGTTTGGCTTGATAACGGGTCGGGTTAGTAACGGTTTGCACAAATTCGGTTTAGTTCAGTTTCGGTTTGGAGAAAATTGGGTCGGGTCAGTTTTCGATTTCCAAAATACGGGTTTTAAACAGTTCAGTTCCTTTTCGGATCGATTCGAAACAGTCGGGTTTAACGGTTCGGGTCAGATTCTGACAGCTCTACTAATACTTTAAAATTTAAGAACTGGAGGCCAGACCGGTTATATTTACTATATGATCAGACTAAACCAAACCAGTTAAATTCAGACCGGACCGAATATGGAGAAAAAGAAAAGGAAAACATTTACTGTCTTTTTCGAAAGCCTAACATAAAAGTGATCATTATATTAAATTCTTTCCAATATGTTAAGTGCAAATTCTATGCTACTCGTTGGAGTACCGTGTGCATGGTGCTCCAAGTTTATAAAATTTATGTTATTTTAATATGAACTTCTTGTTATTTTAATTTATATACATGTTATTTTAAAATCAGTTTATGTTATTTTATATTTCCATGTTTTTTTTTCAACATTGATCCTTTCACTGTACTCTAAATTTATAAAATTCATATTATTTGATATGAACCACTTATTATTTCAATTTATATATATGTTGTTTTTTAATTAAGTACATGTTATTTTTATAAATGCATCTTTTTTTTATGCATGATGTTGAAGTAAATAAGTGAATAACATAATTATTTTAGGAAAATAACACAAGGTTTTAAACAAAATAACGCAAGACTTAGGCAAAATAACTCAAGTATATAGGGTGTGAAATACCATGATCGAGGAGTATATAATACTAATTGATATTAAGGAGAAAAATAATCATCTAGAGGTTTATATTAATAAATGTAAGCAAAATATCAATTCAGTCCAAGACCAGTTTTAAAAAAGTTTTGAACCAATATGGTTCTTTTCGGTCTAGTCTAGTTCATTTTTCCAATTCTAACCAGTTATTATACACCCATACCTCCTAGTGTTAACCAAACTTTCCATAAATTACACCACCTACATGAAACATGGGCATGTCCTTACATTGCCAAAATACTTTACAGCCATTATGAAGTCGGGCAGCCCTTAAAACAGTTTCTTACACTACTTAGTAAAATGAAAGTGATGGGGATTATAATTGGCAAAATTTTCCTAACAATAAGGACATTACCCTACTATATATTAATTCTGCTTGTACAAGGGTATTTACATCATCAAATTAAAACTATTGTGACAATTTGTATATCCAGAGGCGTACACAAGTATACCGAGTTTCTTGTTTAAAAGGTGTAATTTCAATTTAATAGGTAAGTTGATTTTCAGTGTCACGTATGGACAGTGCAGGTGCACATTTGGTGCTGAAGGCTTTGCCTCTTTGAGTGTTTTGGGATATAGCTTCTTCAGCTCAGAGCAGGGGTACTAAAAATAACTATATTTTACTGTAATTTTTACAGGTTCTCCAACTTCTCTGTCTGCCCATCTCAAAATGGACTTCAGTGCCAACATCAGGTAGTAGATGCAGCAGACACAAGGCTGGTGATTTCCGCACACCATTTCAAATTTCTGTGCTCCACTTTTACGCAAACCACTCCTCATGAACTTAGGACTTGGGGTGTGTCATGCGTATATCAAACTTGGTGCAGAGATCATTTCCCCAGAAATAAAGATCCTAATATCCTTGCATTCCTCTTCCTGATCTTTTAGTATTTGTCCCTTTATGATTATAGCCTGCATTTGTTGTTTACTTGCTTCAACTATATTCGCCTTTGAATTACAATAAATAACACAAAAGAGATCAGTTGTCCACCATTCCTGCTCTACCTGAAAATCTATAATGAAAAACATCAAACCAGCGTCCGACCAGAATAAGTTTAAAATGGTAACCATAGTCAAGAGAAGATGAGGCCAGCCCTGCTTATGTGAGAAAACAGCTTCTACATGAAGGGCAGAAACAGAACTCATAAAGGTTGCTCTGATGATTCCAAAATGCAACAGTGCCTATAGAAGACAATGGAAAACTGATTGCGCCAAAAAATAACAAAACTGCAAAATTTCACAGTAATGCAGTGTGATAGCATTAGAATGGCCCTTCCTGAGTCCTGACACATTTTTTTTACATAGCGTCCTTAGATGAGAGAAATTGGAGAGAGGGCCATTGTTTATCATAACGCAAAAATGTTGTTCCTAACAGATAAATTGATATTTCAGCAATGAATCCTAAACCATTCACCAATGGCAGGACTCGCATTGAACATGGGGCTCTAAATAACCCAGAACAACTCCTCTGTGGCCAAACTACATATTCATGTTCCAAGGTATCCTCAATAGATAGGACCACCAAGAATAGCATTACGCAGCGTTTCACCAACACACTGTTGTCGTTACCATGCATTCTTACATTTCTCAACTCATCAAAGCCATTGAAGTGCTGCAATCAACTAGCAAGTGCCAGTGTGACACATAATCTGTACAGTTGAGGTTCTTCATTGGTTCTCAACATCAACCAAACAAAAGCTGTAAACTAGCCAGATTCCTACATAAGTCCACAGACTTAACCATCAAGAAGAGTAAAGGGTAGGCTGCAGCAGCACATAATCTTCACACTATTATTCCAAAAATTCCAGCTTAATTTTATGATCAATTACTCACAAACTCACAATACAATTGCAGTACAATCATTAATTGCCTTATCATTAAGATGCCCCTGTAAGGGAAATTCCCAAACATATAGTTTGGACAAACTTGTATAATCAAGAACATACACAAAATAGTTGCTCCGTACTCCAAACATCTTCCCAATATCATATAATCAGGACAATCCCAATTTTAATTCTGACAAATGAGCAGATATGATCAGCCTGAAGAGATCTCACCCATTATAAAGTAACATATAATTGCTCTTGATAACAAAATGCCAAAACCACTTTCCTTCAAGAGCTATATTTTTAGAACCTAAACCTCCTTCCTGGTAAGACACACCAAATCAGCACAAGATGGTCTCTTCACTCACCAGTTTAAAAGTTTGTCGATACTATTCACAGCCTCAACTGAAACCACAAAAGGTGAGAGCTAGTAAAGAGGAATGCAGAGCAAGCTAGATTGCCTCAAGGATCTCTCCAAAAACCTTTGAAAACATCCAATACTGCTAAAATTCTAGTATCAAAAGGTTCCTGAAAGGCTTCAAAAAAGGATTGCCTCCAAAAGGCAACACCCAAATAACTGATAAAGTCTGGATTTCACACCACGGTAAAGCAGCAAACTCCAGAATAGCTAGGCCACATTCAGAATAGTTTATCTTTAACCCTGAAATCAACTTGATGATCTGCAAAATTGTGAGCACCCTCTTAATAAAATATCAATCTCTGAGCTAAAACAAAATAATATCACTGAAAATGGGACACCTGGACTTCTTCTCCACACTCAAAAATCCTCCAATAGTCCTAAAGACACTCCCTACTAAACAAATTATCCAGCAATTCAGCTACAATGGCAAAAAGAAAAAGACAGTACATTCCCCTGCCACAGCCTCTGTCCAGTGTTTAAAAAAGTGCGCCTTGGCGAGTTGGCGCCGAGGCGCAAGGCAAAATGGGGTAAGCGCTTAACTTGGTCTGGGCGAGGCGCATTTGGTTAGGCGCAGGTTAGGCGCACCTGAAGCAAATTTCTGCCAATATTTTAACTGCTCGCCTCAGTGCGCCTCACTTCAAAGAGGCGCATTGAGGCGCGCCTTAGGCGCACCTAGGCGCTGCATAACCCTTTTAGCCTCAGTGCGCCTTGAGCTTTTTTATACATTGCCCCTGTCATGAGAAAACCACTGCCCGGGTGGCAGGTGCACCACTCACCTACCCTAAAAAGAAAGCCTGAGGCAAGTAACCTCTGATCCATCATCCCCATCAATCTCCGTATGCTATCCTACCTAACCACAAGGATCTAACAAATGCTGTAAAGCAGCCTCCCAGTCTCCCACAATGGAATAGAGTGCAAAAATTTGCCACAAATTTAGAAGCAACTGAAAGTAACACTCAAATTTAAGGGGATGTCAAATCTTTTAAGATAATAGGATCTACCATCCGGAGGCAGAAGATGTGGTCCTCCAAGCCCTTAACTACGACTAACAAACACCATTAGCCATAATTCACAAGGGAGTAAAAAGCCTTAAACATGATTACGACTATAGCATACAAGTGTGGCGAGAAGATAAATCTAGCCACTCAAAGTTGATAAACTCCAAATAAAATCGGAAAATTTTTGTGAGCTACTTAACACTATTTATTGAAGCAACTACCATATATGTTTGTTTTTATAATCAAACTACCTAATATTAACTTTTTATTAATTTTTGGCAATAAGAAAAGACAGAATTGCTTCAAAATTCCCCCTAAGTACACACATTTTGCCCCCAATCACATCCAATTGACAAACCCCAATGTTAATTCTAATCCCTTAAATTGAAAATTTAAAGTGTGAATTTAATCCTTTTCTTTTGCATGGGATGAGGTGTTTTGGCCTTCTTTGAAGATGCACTTTAAATCCTTCCTTTACCCTTGTAATTAAGCATGTGACGAGTATGAGTATGAGTATGAGTATGAGTATGAGTATGAGAAGAGATATAATCAAAATTCATTCGTTGTCATGTAAACCAAATGAAAGAAAAAGTCTTAGAAGTGGACCCATAGACAAATAATTGGACAGAAACCATCATAGGGTAGTGCCACGACCCAAAATAAACACTTCCTCCATTGTTTTAAGTTGCATCACTTTGCAAGTTGCGGAATCCTAGGCCATTTTTGGAGATGAGAGAGATAGAGAGAATAAAAAATGAACCCATGGGAAAGGAGAGAGATACAGAGAGTTTATTAGCTAAAAAGGAAAGGAATGCAACTAATTTGAAACTTCTGTTTTAGGAAAATGATGCAACTACAAAGAAGCGGAGGAAGTAATACGGCAACTATGTCAGTTAGTTGTTCACAAATTTTCCATATTCCACTACTTTGGAAGTGAGAGTCTTTGGCTCAAAATATACATTATTTTCTCTTGACTTTCCTTTTGGGGTTATCAAAAAGAATCTTACGGATGTGGTAGAGAAACCACCTTGAACCTCACGCTTCCATTTGTAACTACACTTTCATGTGTTTCTTTGTGGCTTATGAAAAACTACATTTTGATGTCATCACCAATTCAGCACACTTTGGATTGATCTATATTTCTGTTCATGAGCTGCATTATTACGTATGATACTTGATGGCAAGCATACAATGTTCAAATTGGAAAATTAAATTATATATTGATGTGAGACAATAAAAGCACCGAACAGTTCCAACCATTTGGCACTTGTACTAGAGATTTAGAAATTCATCCAGAGAACATTCTACTGAAATAACCCCTCGAATATACTACTTCAACTTGACATCTAGGAATATCAACACTTCTTCAGACTAGGAAAGGAAATTGAGTAATAAAATATCTCAGCTTTATATAGCTACTCTACCTACATTACACTTATTCTACTAAAGAAATTCTATTCAGAAAGTAGCTTACACAACTCCATTTACATATACTCCCTCCGTATTTTTTTAAGTGATACATTTTCCATTTCCGGCCGTGTTTTTTTAAGTGATACATTTCCTTTTTTGGCAAAACAATACATTAAAATATTATATCTCTCTCCTCTCATGGCCCCACCCAAACCCACTACTACTTTTTTATTATATCTTTCCTCTCACATTCATTACTTTTCAATAAACTATTAACCCCACTATCTTTCTTTAACAATTTTTTAATACTCCACTACCCCACTTACCTCTTATTTTATTTAAGTCAATTAAATTGCCTAAAACTATGTGCCGGTCAATATGTATCACTTAAAAAAACACGGAGGGAGTAGGTCTTACTGAAAAGATCACATTATTTTCCTAAATCCTAATGCAAATATTTATATCCTGTTTGAAAGCATAATCATAAAATCTACATCCATTTGTATTATTTTATATAAAGATTAACAGGTATAATCATCAGTGGTCTTCACATTTTAATCCCATCTATTGTTTAAACCAAATTATTCAGCGATATGTGACTTGTAGAACTGGTAAAAGATTTTCAAATTCTAAGCCTCTTCCTCTGCTTTCCTTCATTCTCCTCTCCTCCCCACCTGACCATCCTTAACCCACCGCATCAGATCGCCCCACTAGCCCACTGCACATCCTGCCCCCTCCCACTTTCACCAGCCTGCTGCACCAACTGACCCACCAACCTAACCAGCCCACCCTGTCCACCTCCATAACTCACACCCTAGACACCTCAATAACAATCAACCTGCCAACCGCCATCAATGTCGTCATCCAACCAACACCACCCTAAAAGCCCCATCAAGATCGCCCTGAACACCACCACCCATTCTACTTCCAAGCACCCCCGCCCCCCAAAGCCACCATAACCACCTTGAAATGAAGGGGAAAGTAAGGTTATTCAACAATTGAGAATAAATGAGAAGAACTCCCATAGTTGAGATTATTCATATTAATTTTTCTTATTTAAAAAACAAAAATTAAATTGCATATAGCAAGAGAGGATTGTAAGGATTTACAAGGCTCAATTAAATTTGACATAGAAGGTAAAATATCCTATCCTACGAACATAGAAAAAAATTCGCTACTTAACGAAATCAACTAAAATATAGCTCTTGCAACAGCACAAATATACTAAAGAGCACAAAAAATGCCAACAGCATAACTTAAGTCATTATGTACAGTCATACGGCATACAGATTCAATTAAAAGACTCATAATATCCATAAATGCAATCTAAGGATCTCAATTCCTGTCATTTAAAGTTTAACTCTCAAAAAAACAAGGAGGCCAAAAAAGTTGCCAAAAGAGCTTACAAGAACTTTTCACATATAAGATAGCCTCAAGAACGTGATCGTGCTACAAATTCTTCTAACTTTCCCCATACTTCAAGAGCTGCTGCCCTATCCTGATGTCGTTTATTTTTGCTTATCTGTATCAATAAATTTAAATCTTTGTGAGATTAGAAATGATACACTAGTATCGAGTCTATTGACCCACCAACAAGAATATGAACATAAACATATGCATATGGAAGGAACCAAAGGCAAGGTCCAACTTACCGAGATTATTTTTACATTCCATTGTTTCACAACCTTTGCAGATTCTATACTATCATCCTCAAATCGCATGTAGAAACCTATGACTGTCAAATACACAGTCAAAATTAGGCTAGAAATAAAAACTGATCCAATGCCCAAGCAATAATATTAAAATAACTACAGCTAACCGACTCTAACTTGTTACTCCAAACCAAACAGTGGAAGCTGTCAAACTTAAATGCTTTAGTGTTAAACATTGTATTAATGCAATGATTTGATCTGAAAGCTTGAAATCATATTTTGACTCTTTTAACAATTCAGTTGCATCCCTGCGCTGAAATGTAAACAAGAAAAAGCAACTTTTTTTTTTTTTGACAAGAAAAAAAAAACATTTTAGATATGAAGAGTTTCAATAAAAAAGCAAGAATTAACCATTTTAAAAAACTTTCAAATTCATCAACATTGCCAAGGGCTGCAGTACTAGAGCTTTCCCAACCCGAGTTCTCTCAGAAATCATCATTATTAATCTAAACTCTTAATGAAAACATCACTGAGCAATTACACCAAATTGAAAATAAATTTGCCAATGTTCTTCCCCTAAAATCCTCAATAGTTAAAATCTTATTAAGTTACCATTTAGCTTAAGTTTCTAAACCTACACTTTCAACATAAAAACTTAGATCCTACACAATAAGTCCCACATGTGTCTCAATACATACCACACCAACCCCAGTATTTAATCAAACTACTTTGAGCGAAAACCAAAACATTACCAAGGTTGTATTACTACAGCTTATCCAAACCTATTTCTCTTAGATATCATCATTATTACTCTTAACTCTTACAGGAAAAATCTCTGAGCAATCACACCAAATTGACATGGAATCAGTCAATGTTCTTCCCCTCAGCATTTAAAATGTTACCAACTTTCCAATAGCTTAATTCTATACATTCAACATAAGCTCGTATCCTACAGTCCAACACAATAAGTCCCACATGTGTCTCAATATATACCGCGGTATTTGATCAAATGATTCCAAGAGGAAACCAAAGTATAAGGTTCTAGTAGAGCTTTTCAAAAAAAATCTTACAACGTAGTATTTCTACTTACACAACAAAGTAATGCAAACATAACAAACAATTGTGTGACACATATATCAGCATCAAATAACCATATGAAACAAGCTACAACAGCTACAAAGTCAATCCACAACACTTCAGAAAACAATGTGATCATCAGAAAATCAGATCAAAGTTTTGGCAGCTTACTCTTATTAAATATCTCAACATGGTCTTTAAAGGGCCAATCTTTAAACTGCCATTCTTTCCCAAGCACAAAAACCGCCACAACACGGTCCCAATCATCGGCCTTCAAAGTCGAGGGTTTATCCCTAACCTCATAAGCAGTCATGACCTTATCCTTATCCCTACTAAACTTCTTCTGAACCGTGACACATTCCGGCTTCGGCCCCTTCATCTGCTTCATCTTAACATCGGTAGGTATAAAAACACCATCCTCCAAAAACTCCTTCACATTATAAATAGTAATCAAAGTAGTAGAAGCACTAGGCACCAAAATAATAGGCACCCCTTCCCCAATCTTTCCCCCACCTTTAAGCATCTTCGCTTTTGGCCCCGAATGAAACCCTTCATCCTTCTCCCCACCTAAAGGCCGCCCTTTATTCCCACCCACATTCGCCTCCTTCCTCTGCTGCGGCTTCTCCTGCTCCCTCCTCAACGCCCCAACATATATACCATAAAAATCGCGGTTACGAACCTGCAACACAGCGTTTCGATCCCGAAGCGGCTTCTCTCTCGCCCTTATCAACCCCATCAAATCAACCCCCTCACCACCACCCCCACCCCCCTCCTCCAAAACCCTAATTTCAGAATCATCCTCAATTCCCAAATTACTCACCCCATTGTTGTTCGGAATCGAATTAAAGGACTGGGGATCATCGGGCCGATACTCCTCAACATCGGTCGCATTCGGAAGAACAAACTGAATAGCTTCAGACGACGAAACCCGGCCTTCAAGATAATCAAGGAGAGGCTTCCGATCGACGTAGGTGACAGGAGGAATCCCTTGATTGGTGGAATTTTTGATGTACTCAGGTTGCTTGATATGGAGATTTTTGATGAAGAAAACTAGGGTTTCGAGAGTGTAGAGATTACCTTGCTTAGAACGATAAGCAGTTTCGGATTTACAGGGAAAAGAGTAGTGAGTTGAGAATCGGAATTCGTCTCCGACTCGGTGGATTTTGTCTAGGTCGCCTCGAATGGTGTAATCTCGCAGCGCTGACAGAGGATCCATGGAAGACTGCGAGAAAGAGAGAGAGGTGGTAGTGAAGTGGAGGGAATTTGAAGTTGAAGGTGAGACTATTTTTGGGGAAAACAGTGCAAAAAAAAAAAAAAAAAAAATAAAAAAATACAGAGGTTTATATGAGTCCTTTCCTAAAATAATGTTAGAAAACTCCAATTCGGTAATTTCCAAATTACAATCTCTTTTCTATACGGAGTCTATTCTGATTGATTGAATTGAAATGAACTGAATCTTTTGCGAAACAAGGAAATTAAAAACTAAACTGAATTGAATTTATTGAAATTGAACTGAACTGAAAATAATCTGAAGAGAACAGACCCTTACGCTATATAATTTGTCAAACAAAAAAGTAACACTATATTTTTTAATTTAAGTCGTAATTGTATAAAAACTAATAATTATCAATAATCATAAATTATTTATAATTATTACCTATGACATTAATGATTAATTTTTAGGAATTTTTGAGTTTCACTACCACCAAAATACTGTGTTTTACTTGTGCTACCTATTTAAAATTTTATTTTATTTTGCTACCACCAAAAGTTACAAAACATAGCTTTTTCTACCATTTAATAGAAATCATTAGGATTCTGTTAAGTGGACTCATTATCTCATTAAATAATGATTTCATTTATTTTTTAAATTTTTTTTAAAAAAATCATTGCTTCAGCCACCCCTCCACCATTCGTGTGCCGGCTGCTGGCGCCCAAACCATCCCCGGTCGGCGACCCCACCCCCTCCCTTTTTCCCACCCACTCTGCCCATCTCCCTCCCCTTTCCCACTCTCGGCACCTGAACTTGCTCAATCTAAGGTGAAAACGCAGGAAAACCTGCAATCTGATTTGACGCCATTGTTTCTAGTAATTGGAGCAGGAGTAGGAGAGAACTATACAACCAAATTCGACTTAACAACCCCTAACAAATCAGAATCATTAAAACAACTAGAAAATTCCCAAGTATTAAGAATTATCTGAGCAATCGAACTCGATAAATCCGAACCCCTCGAACTGAACCAGAAATCGAACCATATACCAAAATAAAAATTAAATCAAGGGTCTAACAAAGTGAAATAAGGGTTTCTTTGGGTTTTAGAGTAGTTGATTGGATTAATGCTGGGATTGCCGGCCAGTTTCGACCGAAAATTCGCTGAATTTGAAGGTTTTGGGGTTGAAATGGCGGAGAATTGGGGAAGAAATTGGGGATTTTGTTCTCAGCCTTCTCACTTGTGGGGTAGACCTGACAAACGGGTCGTTTGGGTCAGGTTCGGGTCAGCACATATTCAGGTTGGGTCAATTCGGGTTTTGGATCAAATTTGGGTCAGCACTTCGGGTCAGGTTTAGGTCAGGTCAAGTTCGAGTCGGGTTAATTCGGGTCGGGTTAGTTCGAGTCGGGTCAATTAGACTAATTTTATGGTCAATTTCAGGTCGGGTCAATTTCAGGTCTGGTCATTTCTGGTCGGGTCAATTCAGGTCAGGTTCGTTCGGGTTGGGTCAAGTTTGTGTCGTTAAAAAAAATAAATTAAAATAAATTTACTTTAAAAAAAACTTGAAAAATAAATTAAAATCGTTAAAAAAAACCGTGATGATTATCTATTACTGAGGAACGAAAGAAAGAAACCCTAAACTAACTAATTCACAGTTTTACCATATTCACTGAAGGAATCCGGTAACTTAGGGTCGGCTCACTTCGGTTCGGGTTTTTTTGGGTCGGCTCACTTTGGGTCGGTTCGATTCGAGTTAAAATCGGGTCAGGTCACTTCGAGTTTTGGGTCAATTCTGGTCTGGTCAAGTTCGAGGTTCGGGTCAATTTCGGGTCGGGTCACTTCGGGTAGGTCTGGTAAGTTCGGGTCAGCATATACTAAGTATAAAGTATGAACCTTTTATGTCTGCATAATCAATCAATTAACAAACATTATTTAAATGCAAAAGAGAAATTCTTGGTCTTAAGTAGGTAGTGTTGGGGTTTGGTGAGTCTGACTCACCGCGGAAACAACCCTGACCCAAGAACCACTCGCAATTAATAAAACCATAAAGCATAACAAATAAACACAAGAAGGGTAAAACCGAAATATACCTTTGAAGCGTGCTTCGCCCTCACAAACGGGCTCGTACTTGAAAGCTTCTAGCTCCGAAAATACCGAGCCTCCAACGGTATCCAACCGCAAGGACGAACACCGACTTTTTAGGTCCGCTACCTTGGAGTTAGCAAGGTCCGACCAAAACCCGAGTGTTAATAGAGTTTAAGAGTTTTTGCCAAAATGCAATGCTCTTTCTAACTCCCACTCAAGCAAAGAATTCTCAAGCCATGCCATGACTATTTATAAGGATGCTTTGTGAATTTCACTCATCTTTTAATGTGAGACTTTTCACAAAAGATCCCACATGGAAAGATTGGTGAATTCAACCCTTAGTCAAATACACCAAGGAACAAGTAACAAGTGTCACATGGTTAGGAGTGGACCACTTTCTCACTTGGTCCCCAAGGCATTTCACATGAAATGTAAACTAACCATGTGTCACCCAACCTTGAGCCCCAAGTTGGGTTCGTTTGAGCCATTTTATGTTGGCCCGTGACCATGACCCTTCACCCCGGGTCCACGGCCCTTGCCACATGTATCGCCACCGTGGCGCACCGCCACCATGGTGCGCTACCACATGGCACGCTGCCTACATGGCACGCTGTCCTAGCCTTTTGCGTGGCTAGGATTTTACTTGTTACTTGAAGCATTTTACCGTCTCGCCAAATCCTAAATTTTGGCTCGACATTTGAGATTCTCCGACACTCGGTTTCGACGCTCCAAGCTCGAATTCCCGATATCTAAATATTTAATACTCGGGCGACCAATTAATTTCTTCCGTATTAATTTGTCGAGTCGGTTCGTACATTGCTATGGGTGTGACCCGAAGGGTTCAGTCAAGATTAAGCTGTAATATTATTATGCATTAATATTACTGATCGAAAGAAGCCTCCACCCAGGCATTCCGATCACTTGACCTTACTGAATATATTAGCTTTCTAATACTTCTGAACCCACTATCAGAATAATACACTTGTCCGAAGGACATCATTCCTTTCAATCTCCCACTTGTCCTTCTGGACAAGTGAGCATTTAGTGTATAGCCCATTTCCTATGTCTCTTCATGTCTCTTCATGAACAACAGGGTAAGATTATTCATCATCCCTGTTACATCCAGAAGTGTTTCTCGAAATCCGAGTTCGACTGTCAATAAGCAGATGATTTCTAAAATCCATCTAAGCACGGCCATGCATTTTCACAGTACTGCTCTTCGAGAGGCTTTGTTAACAACAAGACATGTTCCCTATTGTTAATAGGGGGACATTCCTAGTCTTGTAATGTAGCTTCTCATACTGTAAGGAGGGTGTTCCCGTCGTAGGGGATCCTTCTCCTTAGATGCCCATGGCCCTTTAAAGCCTAGGACTTTACACTTGTTAGGGTGTTTTAGGATTTGAATTCCTGACTATTTGGGAGACCTTTGATTTAGAGATGATTCTATCATACACGCGTTTTTGTAAGAAACAAGTAGGAGTCGCCAATGAGTTTTAGGAAAACTCATAAACCTCGTTCATGCCTTTCTCCCAAGTAGAGTTCAAGGGATATTTAGCATGAATCATAAGTTTACCCATGCCCAAATTGGTCTAGAAAACTAGAAATGAGTTCGGGAGCGAGGGTACTAAGATAACGTTCCCTTTAGAAGGGAATCGCGATCCTAGCCCTAGTGCGGCCTCTACTAGATCTTCCTTTGCACAATTTCATTGTCAAACAATATATGCAACGTGATACCTAAAAACTATGTTAATTGATTTTATTTACACACATTAATTCACGTAGGAATTATATCGTATAGTCGTTATTCTTATTTAATCAAATTCTTGAAAAGAACAATAAAATAAGCAATATTCGCCTTGACTTAGGTGATCAACCAACAATTATTTTATTCAATTCTAATCTTGATTAACGAAAGAATACTATGTGAAATTAATTAATTTATTAATTTAAAATTGATCAAACAACACTAATTAATTGATTAAAGTTCTTTTAAACAATAAAAATAATGGTGATTTAACTAAGTGCTCGGGAATTTACCACTTCTCTTTGCTAAGTCTCCGTTTAGAACACTTATGGACTCCTTCTTGTTGGTGAACCTCCACCGTAGTAACAAAATATCGAAAAGGGTGAGTGTTTAGGACAAGAGGGTTTGGATGCACAAGTTCACAAGTATTCTGCCAGAGTTTAGGTTAATTTTTCTGTGTGTTTAAGCCTCGGATTAGGGTCTTATTTATAGGGAATGATTAGGTTTAGGGTTTAGAGCATTCTGCCGTAGCAGGTGTCGCGCGCAACTGAGTAGGTTGCGCGTGGCTCTCACGCGCAAGTGAATAAGTTGCGCGCAGTATGCGCGCGCAACTATTTGTCTTGCTCGTAGCTCTATGGTAAGATTCGATTTTCCAATATTTTAATATTCTGAATCTTTTGCGAGCGCATCTCTGAAAGTTGCGCGCGACTGCTGAGCGCGACTTTGTGAGATGCGCGCGATATTTTCCGCGACAGCTTTTATTTTAACCTAGACGCTCCTAAATCTGTCATTATTGGGTTTTAAGCACGGGCTTAAGCCTAATTATGATCGGGTTTAGTTAATTTGGACCTTATGTTAGCCTTGTTCTTTTATTTGGGCTAGTCTTTTGTGTTTTGTGGCTTAACCAGTTATCCATAAGCATTCTTTACTTTGATCCAACACGAAGATGGTTTTATTTATCGTTATTGCACTTCCTGTCGGGTCAGAAGGCCAAAAGTAGATGTCTACAGTTAGCCCCCACTTTGATCGAGTCTAGAATAGATAATGATCAAAGTAGTCAAGGAAAAATCCAAGACTCATTCTGCGAAGTTCTCTAAGGTTAGAGAATCTTTCAGTAAGGTTTAAGGATGTGGAAACAGCCCTTGGTTCGCTAAGTGTTTGAAGCAAATAGCTATTAAGGCTAGAAAAGGTTTCCCCTAGTCTTAATGCGCTAAAGAATCTAGATTGATCCTTTGCAATTGTAGAACGCTTTTACAAGTAAAGGTGTTGTGGGTGACG